AGCAGCGCAGTGCATGAGCCTTTAATAAATTAACCAAACACATCATCGTGAGAGCGATAACGTCGCGGACTAGTTTGGAAATCGTGACCTTTGACATAACGTAACGGTCGAGGCGCAAAACGATTCATTTGGAGCGCACGCTCGTCGCTCGTCCCTTTAGGTTGTGGATTGTGAGCGTTTGATTGGGAGAGTGTCTTTGAGATGGTGGGAAGTTCAAGTTGAAGTGGTAAAGACTTCTATGTTTTTTCCTTACGATTATATTCAATTACATGAACTGAAAGAGGAATTTCCTAGAGTACTCTCGAAGTTCATCCTGAAAACCAAACGGGCGAGGTGAAGTAGAATACTGAAATAATATGGGTGCCAGTATTGGGCATTCGATAAGAGGTATTGGCGATCTTTTAGATCTTGATAAATAAATGCAAACCCATCTTGGAAAGTTTTGAAAATCTATTGTGTTACTAGGTGTACATTGCAGTTGTCTGCTTGCAATATTGAGCGGAGCAAGCATATTAATCCAATACTTTTGTAAAGTCAATGCAACATCTTGTTAACGTAAATGGGACGTCTCCTTAGATTATCCAAAGTCAATTCTTTATCTGTTTATCGTAAATGAGATCTCTACTTGCAGTATTTAAAGTCAATGCGACATCTGGTCCACATAAATAAGAAATCTACATACGGTTTCCAATGTCAATAGTATATTTGGTTCACAACAATGGGATGTCTACTTGCAGTATCCAATGTCAACGGTATATTTAGTTCACATTAATAGAATGTCAATTTGCAGTATAATGGTCACATAAATGATTGGCCACATATAGGTTCACATAAATGAGATGCCTATTTGCAGTAGCCAAAGTCAATTGTCTAATTGGTTCACATGAGAGCCCATTTGCAGTATCCAAAGTCAATGGTGCGTCTGGTTTACGCAAAGGGAATGTCTACTTGCAGTATCTAGAGTAAATGATACTGATCTTTGATGATAATGATCTTTGGTTCACATAAATTGAATGCCTATTTGCAGTATCAAAAGTCAATTGTATATTGTGTTCACATATGGAATGGCTATTTGCAGTATCTAAAGTCAATGGTGCATTAGCCTAATTCCGTCAAACCTAATTGATTATTCATTTTGTAGTAAATTTACTCAACTATATCAATCCGATTGTCCTTCCTTTTTGTTTTGTATTTGTAATGAGCTAGGTGCTAGCTTAGATTTGTTGACTAACATAACCATAAGGTCCACGTTAAATGTCTAAACATTTTAAATTTACGTAGGGAAAAGCACTGTGGTCTGATTTGTAACATTTCAGATTTATACCTTCCCACGGTTGGTTACTATGACTGTGCTACATTTCGTGCAGATCGCTTCAGCCGTTCAGGAGGAGTATTTGTAAAAGCAGAAGTGTGTTATAAGAGCTTCGCTCCGCTCAATAATATTAAGAAAACAAAGCAACATTTACGTGAACAGATAAAAAAGTTTTAAAATAATTATGATCAAGGGAAAGTGTTTTGAAAACAAACTAAAAATAATGTAATGGTTTATCCATTTATCTACGTTGTATCTGGGAGAAAACGACAAATCTTTGAAAACTGTTTTAATTGATCTTGGCTTTTCTGTAATGAGTGATGTAAATAAATCACTTTTTCCAACGAAAAATCTGGTAAAAGGTATATATACTGCTTATTAGATTGATTAATTTAGATGATTATTGATTATTGATTCGATTAATTTGTACTCCAGGCCTTGAACTACGTCCACCACGTTGAGCAGTTGAATTTTCATTTACCACTGAACTACACATCAAGTTCGTTTTTAATTATTGAGCTTCAAAAGAATTTCACAAGATTAACGGATAATCATTACTTACACAAAATTTTCTAATAAAATGAATGATAAAACTCTCACTACATTGTCAGCGAAATATGATATGTCCTGGATATCTTACCACTAAGGAAATTGAGAAACCACTTATTCGTTTCCACGGATTAATTTTAGTATCGACACTTTTAGCATCGACAAATGATTTTTTTTCGTTTCCGACACACAATGAAAACTCCTCATTGGGCCAACTAGCTAATCTCCACTTTACGACGGCCCGTTACTGAAACCAAGCCCTCATAAACGGATACTTTGAAAAGGGTAATTAAGTGTCTGTAAAGGCATAAATTACCCAGGGATAACCCAGATCACAAAGAGTTGGGTCTACCTGCGACCTGACCTTACCCTAAACTGAACCGAGGCCCGCAAAAACCTGCTGCTACGACAGGATTTGCTCATCTCCCTTCATTGTGTGATTTTAATGTCAATCATGAAAGTAAAAAAGCTTTGTTCTTGATCTACCTGTATTCAAGTTTACCGTTTTAATTATTCACCGGGTTTTACATTTGTAACGATGATTTGTAAAGCCTAACGCTCTCGAGCAGTTGGGCTGTACACTTATTCTTTTGACGGAATATTCAGAATTGAAAAACCTTGGTAATCCAAGATAGGATACTGTCATGTTTCCAATTTTTATTACAAATAAACAAAATATTGAGCAATTCAAATACACTACAGATTTTACAGTCAGAAAACATAACTTCTTACGTAGCATTAGTACATTTGATAACATAACTTGTTATACAGAGTTTATTTCTTCTTGCTATATTCGGGGTGATCCTACAATTTATTGTTTCTCGTAAGTCCAAGGGTCATGAAATTTGTTTTCTTCAAAACTATAGTTGGACAATAGTGGTCTGAGGAAATGGAGGTTTTCCTTTTTTTTCAAGAGGTTGGCAACAACTTTTAACCTTGCAGTTGCCCGTCCACATAGACTACAGATCTGTGAGAGGAACGTAACCAGCAAAGCAAGGGGGAGCCGGTACAGTACGAAGGTGAACTGTACTGAGGAGGTGGTTCATGTTTGGTTGATATTTAAATTTCAAGTAGCCGATTTTTAAGACTGCATTCACTTGAGTGTCGAAACAGTATAAAAAATATACAAATAAAAATGTATCATCAAAAGTGAAATTCACACTTCATCTCCCACTCTGACCTAGCTGTCATGATAGATATTCCCCTCTTCGTTCATAAGGCATTCATTGGAAATCATCATCTAGATCTTAAGATTTCAAAGAGATGATTCAAATATACTTTCACGCAATTGTATACCAGAGGTTTATAGACACATTTGATAGATGAAGCTGGGTATATTTTTAATAAAGACACACTATTCCCAAGGTTTTATTGAGCTTTTCCAATGTGATATTCATAAAATCTCTCCTTCAATCTGTCCCTCTGCTCGAAAGTTTGTCATTGGGACAAAGATGACCTTGATTTTCAGATTAAAATGCTCTTTCAAGAATACTCCATTTATATTTTAGATTTTTGGTATTTTAATAAATGGTGCTGGCCAACGAAACAGCCGGTCTTAGTCAGAAGCAAAGCTACATAAGGTATCTCACTCCAGTCTATACTCATCCTTCACTTATATTTGGGTTACATATGCACCTAGGAGTTTCCTTGATCCCAAAACAATAATGATGACTTCAATACCCATACAGTTAAGGGTGTTTGGTCAAAAATTTTATTTCTTATTTTTTGTTATTGTTCAATTGTACTAAAAATTAGAGATACAAATATATAAGAAATTTTTTTTTTATTTTGAATACTAAGCGAGATATGAAGTTTGAAAGTAGTAAATTTTTCATCTTTGGTACCAATTCACAGGGAGAATGGGTAATGCGATTCTCACCAAAATTGGCATTCAGGTGTGTAAAAATAAGATGATAATTACTGGCTATTTAAAATTATAAATTATAAAAAAAATTTTTAATTTTAATTTTTTTAAATTTAATTTTTTTTTAATTTAATTTTTTATAATTTTTTTTTTAAATTATTAAAATTAAAAAAAAAAAATTTAAATAGCTCTTTGTTTTTGGGGAAAATTTATCTGTATTTTGGAATCTAAAAAAAATTTATATGTTAATTCGTTTGGGCTGTGAATTCGTATCTTTGATGCCTTGCGCTGTCGGAGCACTACTCGTTGAGTGTGTGTACACTGACACCGGGGCTTTAGAATACAACGATAAACGTATTCTTTCAATGTTATAAGATGTTAATAATTACGTGATGTTAAAGTATTCTAAAGCCCCTGTGTTAGTGTACAAACTCTCAACGAGTAGTGCTCCGACAGCGCAAGGCATCAAAGGTACGAATTCACAGCCCAAACGAATTAACATATCATTTTTTTTTAAATTCCAACATACAGATAAATTTTCCCCCAAAACAAAGAGCTATTTTAAAATGTTTTTTAAATTTTTAATTTTAAATAGCCAGTGATTATTATCTTATTTTTCCACACCTGAATGCCAATTTTGGTGAGAATCGCATTACCCATTCTCCCTGTGAATTGGTACCAAAGATGAAAAATTTACTACTTTCAAGCTCCATATCTCGCTTGATATTCAAAATAAAAAATGTTTTCTTATATATTTGTAATTCTAATTTTTAGTACAATTGAACAATAACAAAAAATAGACATGAAAATTTACGACCAAACACCCTTAAGTTCCATTGGTTACTCGTGCATGCAAGACAGTAGATTAAAAAAGTATCATCCCTACCTTTGACGTTTCTCCAATTAGTAGTTCATACAATCAGTACCTCCTCATAGGTGGGCAAAGTTCAATTTGTTTTCTATGCGTTAAAACGTGGTGCAAGGGGGGGGGAGTAACTTAGTTTTCTGGTTTCAAAAATACTTCGTTCAAATCTTTGGTTGAGTTGGAATACTCAAAATAGTTTTATGAGTGAAAACATTTTGAAGTGAGAAATGAAAAAATCATCAAATTCAGAAGACCTCACAAGTACGCTATTCTGACTATTCCCATAGCTTCAGAGTGTTTCTTGATGTGAAGTTCACACTATCTTCTCTCCTCCCAGCTGTCTAGTTATCCTCTGCTCCACAGTTCGACTCCAGAGGTCGCCGGATGTTTATCGGAGTCACAGGTGTCACTCGTCCACCTTCACCTGTCTCTCAGTCTCTGTCTCTATCACTATCTCTTGTCTCTCACTGTCTCTCGTCTCTCGTTTCTCTGTGTCGTCACTCCATTCTAGATGCGGTCGGATAAGAAGCATATCGTTTTAAAACCACCCTTGACTAAAATAACAATCTAATCATACTCTGACTGAGTGAAAATGTGACATGGTGCGAAATTGTAGTGGCACAGTCGTGGTAAGCAGATATCAGGTAATTAGTTCAATTAGAATTAAAATATTCTTGAAAGTCTATGTTAATTTGCAAATACAGTACCTTATTACGGCATTACAATGGCCATTGCCTCATCATCTCTCTGGATCGTCGTTGCCTTTACTTAACGTATTTATTATATTAAATTCCCAAAGTTAGCACTGAGTTTTTAGACATTGCGAAAAATCAATTACTGTCCCAGTTTCTCTTATAAAAATTTGAAAAGCTGCTTCTAATTAGTTGCAGAAGGCCTACTGATTTAGATTAGTAGACCGAAATATAAATGATGGATACAATAAGAAATTTATGGTAAAAAAATCAGAAAGATACGATAAATTACTCAGGTTATTGTGACTCGATTATTGTGTTGTTTTGTTTGACGCTTGTTGATATATTATGTTCAGCTTAAGGATACGTCCTTATGATACCTGCTTATCATTTGAACTTAGTGTAACAAATTTAGGATAAAATTGACTTAAAAAGAACATACGATACATCATCCGTGGACTGTGTATTCGTATTCTCACTCAATTCAAAATATTTTATGTGATATAAACAAGATCTTTGCCCAGCTAGCACTTGATGATTGTCAGAAGGTTAGTTTAATATTTCTGTTGAAAGGGTTTAAGGTTATAAGGAGTAAAATTGTCATAAGCTTATCTGCCATCTGGGAAAGTTATTGTAATACAACTTGTCGCGTTGCCGAATAAAAATGTAATCCTTTCACAAATCACATGCTTTTTGCACACATGAATGATACATACAGAAATTTCCTTTCTTTGTCTTGACAATACAATCACTACAAATGACCTACCAAACAATGACGGAGAAATTGAGCTCCGGGATACGACTAGATGAGCCACGCGCGAGCTTAATAGCCCAACAGCTAATCCAGCGAGCTAATAGCTCACAGCACAGTAGAGATAATCAAATTATCCAAGGACGTTGATGGAACGGTCTACATAATGGGCTGAATGAAGGTCGAGTCTTATGGGTATCTGGGTGATTGGAATACGTCCAGGAAGCCGTGGAGATAATAGCCGGAGTTAATCAATAAATGATAGGCTACGCGCAAATAAACTTTAAGTAGGGTTTAAGTATTGTGTTTACTGCTGCATTCACGCTTGAGTTGGTGATCTGTTTTGAGATACAACGAACTGGTGATGGATTAGATTTGATTGGGAAATAATGTGAACGTATTTTCAATGTAAGAATACAAGTATTCGTGTTTGAATCGCAATGAAGACGATGGGAGTTTGTTTAGGATGAAGTAGCATAGGTATTAGTCGAGGAGCTGAGGCGGTTTGAGCATGCATGAAAGTAGTACGCAATGTTATTGCTGATTATTGTAATATGGACTGTGGTGATCAAAATTACGTATGTCGCCTATTTCAAAAGTGGTCGATAAGGTAGGGGGAGGGGGCAAACATGGCGGGTTGCGCTATGCGTTAAAACGATGATATTTCGAAAACGGTAAAAGATAGAACATCGGTTAAAACGTCGTTGTAATCCTAAAAATATTACCTACAATAATGGTTATTGAGTCCGAGGTAGTGTCTCTAATAATGAACAAGTTATTGTATAAAATATGTAAAAATGGACTATTCGCGTAGTTTTTTTCCCGGAAGTAGAATTAATTTGTGAGTGTCGGAAAGAAGTAATATCAAATATCTTTGCTGATAGTTGTGATACGGACTGTAGTGATAAAAAATACACATGTCGCCTACTTTTCAGGTGGTCGTGAACTTGAGGGGAGGGGGATAAAGATGGCGGATCGTGCTATCCATTGAAACGACTCTGGTACGAGATGGGACATCGGTCAAAACATTGCGTACTACTTTCATGCATGCTCAAACCCCCTCAAACCCCCTAGTAACTTCATAGCCGGAGTGTGGTATTTGATATGACTCTTTGACCGTCTAGAATACCAAGATACGACTCAAACGTAAGATACTTGGAGATGGCTTTATCATTGGATCAGGATATCAGAATAGGGATTGGAATAGTAGCTTAAGGTTTCATGACCAGATTACGGTATTAGGATCACGCACGCACGATAAACTAAATACAGTTGCTGCCTCACTGACTCTAGAAGCTCAGGCTAGAATCTCGGTACTGTATAAGGTTCAAACCCATGCTAAGATATTTGGAGATGGCTACATAGGCTAATTGAATTCAGGTAGGACGCAACAGTAATGTTGTTTATGAAATATATGCTGTTTTTGTTTTATGACCAATATCACCTTATATTTTGGTATAGGTAAGGAATAGGATACCTGGAAATGGGATCTGTGATGGATATATTCTGCAAGCCTCTAATTTAACATGTGATGCACCTTGCAGATCTAAGATAAGTTTTCATAAAATTCCAATCTACTTTCCCAATCTAGTCATAATATATATTCTAATACATGCTTTGACTTATGGCTAAACAACAAAATTAAGATACATTAGATATTCGAATAGTACTCCAACACCGATAAAATTCTCAAAATTCTAATATCACTAATATTTTAATTTTGAGAATGAGAGTGTACTTCGATACCAGGATATAGTTTATCAGACTAGGTTATCAGGATGCAACCCTTTTGTTGAAGTGCATTGATGAAGTGGACACTGTACAACGTACAAAGGATATCACACACTGTTCCGTCACCAAACTAGGATATCATGAAAAGTCTCCATAACTACAGGATATCAGGATAAGGCTCCATTATTTGACCAGGATACCAGGATGCGACTCCATCACCGCTGTTCCGTTATGGCAGAGTTATGAGTTCTGGAATCAGTCATTAACTAAACAAACTATGCATTGTTCCGGCTAATTGCCGGCCCTAATGACCGGAATCTATTCCATCACAGTCGTGCTCGAGACACTTCAGAGTCCGTCTGGACCCTTGATTTGCAAACACTCTCTACTTGCTGCGCTTTCTTTGTAGCTATTCGTTGAGGTAAGAAAGGTTTGTTGCATACAGGTTTGTTCTTTAATCGAATACTTAATTCGTATGTGGACTGCTACATCAACGACAAATCAAATCTTCTAGCCACTACTGTCTAATCAAATCTTCTGAGCATACCAAATGTTCACGTACCAAGGCTCTGACTCGTCGTTCTAGTCGATCATTTTCCATGTCGTTTAAAGTGTTATGTCGAATTTCAATCGCTTGGTGACAACGCAAGATGTTTTGTTTTATGGCCCTGAGCAAATATAACTTAATATAAGCTAACACTAGAGTAGTTCAGTGTATGGATGACCCAGTGCTTTGTGTAGATTAGTGGTCCAATCAGCTCCGATGGCCAATCACAATGAACAATGCTTTATAAATACAACCATACTTCTTCGACAACTTGCTTCTTAAAGAATACTATCTCACAAAGTAAATCGATCACAAAGTATTAATGCGTTTGTTAATGAGTTTAATTGTGCTGATCCGGGCAGTCTTGTTGACCTGTTGGCTATGGTCCAGCCAGTTTCAAACCATAAAAAAACTACTTAGTCTTTTCTCGGGATCGAACCAGCGACCTTTTCATGATATCTTGAGCACTTCAAGCTCGGTTTGGACGGACTACACTCAATGCTTCACATAACAGCGATATACGAACATAGTTCTTTTACAAATGCTTTAGAATATTTCAAATAATACCTTTCGCAGAAACGTTAGAATCTCACGTGAACCGAGAAATCGAACGCAGTTGCTGCACAAGTGAACTTTGACCCAACCGCCAAGTGACCTCCCATATGGGGCGACAGTAGCGCACATATTAAAAGCCCCACATACGGGCCGCTCAATGGAGGGAGATAGACATATAGAGATGAGCGGGCAGGAGATGGGGTCGCCGAAGACACGCTCCAGATTGACGCTCCAAGATAGCGGCTTTGAGGCTCCATACTGCTACTGCGGAGTAACAAGTTCCAAACGGAACCGTTACTTCCATTGTTGTGGGTAACTGTGGCTCAGGTTATGAAATGATCTTGGATTTGGAGAGTGGTGAATATATGTTTACCTACGACCGTGTTTTTAAAGTAGCCGTTTCAGTTTAGTTCTTGGAATTAAAAAGTTTTACATAAAAGCATTGTTTGGTTACATAACAGCATAGTTTTACTTAACAACACCCGTAACGGACCAATGAGGTTGAAGGACTTAGAGGAAAGAAGTAACATTGTAATGATTCTAACTTCAACTAATCAGCTATTCAGGCCAATTTAATTGTTGAGTGGTGCAATTAGTGTTTGGTACAATGTTTCGTCGCATCACTGTCAGTGGCAATGAGATTTTAATAATGAAAACATAACCTCTCTTAGAAGTTATGAGTAGTGATTGTTAGTAATTAATAAGCTGTCGTTGTTAAAGTAGTGTACACAACTCGCGTGAATAGTCTTAATGACACTCGTTTTCAAGGCACTCGCTAAGGCTCGTACGTTAAATTTTCAACGCGTTAACGCGATCGTTGCGCAAACTAATATAACTTTAAAAATATCCTGTAGCCTCTCCAAAAACTGTGACATGTTGTATGATCGTCCTGAAAAAAAGACGTTAATGGTTTGAAAATAGTCAAAGCATTGGGCCATTGTTGGTGTTTAATGAATTATCCCGGTTAAAAGAAACAGATGAACTTTATCTTAATCAGTTGCACAGTTTATACGCTCCATTGTACACTGACTTTGCTAACATATTCTGTTTACCTACACAAGTACGTCCCTATCTCTCTGAAATTTGCAAATGATTAAATAGTGACACTAATTGACAAAACACAATAACAGCTGATGGTAAATAAAACATAGCTAACCATTTTTCACAGGCAGGACTATTTTTACACTCCACCTTATAAGCTTTTAGTAAACAAATAAACTCCAGCTATCATTCAAACAAAACGAATCTCCTCCTGT